AAGACTCTTTTAATACAATCCATCAAAAAAAACAATCATCGTGTTATTTGAAAGAGATAAACTTGTATTCAAGGATCCTGATTGGCTCTTTTTTATTATCATTTACAAAGTTTCTACATAAATTTTAAGTTCTATTATAGCATTGCGGCACGAATATGGCCATTTATGTGTTGACGTGCCGTAAAATCCAAAACAAACAAAAACAAACAAACATTGAAAATAGAAAATACTCTATACAGATCTATAAAATTATTTAAGAATCATTTTAAGTAATCAGCTGTATTGACTCTATTACTTATAGACCAAAAATGACAAATCTATGGGGTCTGTCGATTTTTGATCGAATTAATTGTAAAGTTACTCTTATGTCAATGGATAATAAATGAGACAAATCATACGCCTATTACACCAGTTTATTCTTAGATAAATGTCTTAGTTACAAAACGAATAAATAATTTTGAATATCTTGGTGTCGAGTTATGTTGGCTTTGCTGTAAAAACAGCAGCACTTGCACTGGCCATACCAATGTGGATTTTTCTCATCCGATAATCCGGACGGACTTTTTTTTAAACACTTTTACACACGATTAGCCAATTTTTCAAGAACCCATCTAGAAAAACAATATAAAATATGTAACTTTATTTACAAGGAATTTAAAAACCCAATTAAACCCCATCAACTTTGTTATTTTAGAGAAACCGGTTTATTTGGAAATTAAAAACAATATGCCTTTCAATGACTGTTTATTTGTCAATGTAACAATTTTTGATACTCCCAGCCACCCAAGTCATGTTCGTTAAGTGTTGGATCTTTCGGTTTCCATTGCAATTTCATGTATTTTGTCGCGAGCAATGTCCTCCGAAAACAACCCTTTATTCCATATTTTTTACACACCGTGATCTGTGATATTGCTTTTAATTCAATTTGATGAATTCGTAAAACAAAATCTAATTGTAAATATAAAAAGCTTACGGACTAAGATAAATTAGTCTGTAGCAGGACTAACATAAATTGTTTGTAGCGTAACTTTAAACGTAGAAATAAAAGGGAGATAACTCTAAGGAATGTATCGCATAAATTACGCGACAATGGCTTCCTAAACATGCACTGGATAATTATATGCTATAAAAACAACTGATTACGTTATTACGAAACAAAAGGCAAAACATTTGATCATAGATAAAACATTGTATTTAACTCTTTACAAAATCACATTTATTTCCTTTCAATGTATATGTAAATATTGTAGAAACCATGCGTAAAAACCTTACTATTTTGTTTTCTTGTGACTTACTATCAAGAAAATGCTCGTTTTACTACTATGCTTTTGCAGTTCTTTTACTCTTACGGATCCTTTCAGCAAGCATTTTTACATGGACCTTCTACGAAAGCACATGCCAATATTATGCTTGGTTTTGGTTTTTTGGTGAAGAAAGAAAAGCTTATTTTCATCTCATTTTGTACAAATATATCGTCTCGTGCTGACTTATTAAAAGCCTGCGTGTGCAATTTTCACAGCAATTCAAACAAATGTTCTCGAAACCATATTTTAACGTAAGACAATGCACTTGCGTAGTTATATTTAAAGAATGTTTACCGAGTATATGACAGGTCTGGGTGAGTTTTAGATTCACCTAAATTATAAACATAATGAACCTACCGAGGCTCAGATCTATGGAAAGCCATGTTGTCTTGTCTATTGTTCTTTTTCAATAATTGAATTATGTGGATAATATATAAGTTTACCTTCGACAATATATGAATTGAAAACACATTCTTAATTAAACCGAAACCATTATATAATCCAAAGTACAATGTATGAAATCATCGCTAGTGTATAGTGTATGGAACCAAAGTAGCAGCTAGCTTATTATAAGTTGATTTTATCAATAGTATGATACAATTCTTCAATATTATGGTTACCAAAGTAGTCATATATGAACCCAGATAACCTTATATGAAATCCGAATTATGAATATTCTTTAATTCATTTTTTCCAATATTATAAAATTAAGTCGTCAATGTATGAACCAAAGTATTTCAAATATGTAAGATTGATTTCACATTATATGGTTACCAATTCTTCGATATATGATACATAAAGTAACCATGTATTGAACCAGATGTCCTTATATGGAACTGAATTATCAATATATTTAATCATTTGTAACAATATGGAAACATTTATTCAATGTATGGAACAAGAGTAGCAATATATCAGTTGATTATTACATTATATTGAATAGCAATTTTTTAACTATATGGACCCAAAGTAGTCATGTATGGGGACCAGGTGTCCTTATATTGAAACCGAAGTATCAATATATTAATTCATTTTTACAATATATTAACCAATGTATCAAATATATAGTTGATTATCACCATTACATGATATGATGACACTCTTCGATTCGATATATGTCTCCAAGGAAGTCCTTTATGGAACAAGATGCCCTAATATGAAACCGAAAAATAATCATAATTAATTCACTTTTACAATATATGAATCCATTTTATCATAATATTGATCCAAAATATTAATTTATAAAGTTGATCCGTCCTGATTGCTGGTCCAGTTTCTTCAATATATACTACCAAAAGTAGCAATATATAGAACCGAGATGTCCTTATATGAAACCGATTTATCAATATATATTAATTCATTTTTACAATTATATGAAAAAACAGTTTATCAATGTATGTATTCGAAAGTAGCAATATATAAGTTTGATTATCACTATTAAATGATACCAGTTCTTTAATATATGGTACCAAAGTAAGCAATACATGGAACCAGATGTCCTTATATTAAACCGAAATTGATCAAATATAAATCGTTTTTTACATATATGAAACCATTTTATCAATATATTAAGCTAAGTAGCAGTATATTAATTGATTTTCACGTTATATTATTATACCATGTCACCAGTTTTTAGAAACTGACTTAGCAATACATAAGTCAAATTTGACATGTATGAATTCCAAACTTTCGAATCCTATGTCATGTAAATGTAATCAAAAATCCTATATCTAAACAACTTATTAATATGTAGGTTAATCTTACCAATATAATTGAACCCATTAACTCAGCGCGCAGGCGAGATGGAGGAAATTCTCTGGAGGCATAACCATACATTTATAAACTACCTCGAACGGTTCTCACGAAGCGCCATCTCTCGGACAAGCGAAGTACATAACGTGAAAACATTACATGTCCTTCAATTTAACGCTCGAAACCGGTTTGACCTTTCCCCATCTCGAAGCGGCTGAACGCTTCTTTAACCACTAGGCCAACTGGTACCGTTATGAGTAGTACGGTAGGATAGGTAGGTTAAGGTAGCGTTAGGTTAGGATAGGGTAGAGTCAACCAGAGTACAAATCAGATTGTTATAAAGCAATAATAGATTTACTGGCGCAAAAAGAATAAAAATTATGAGGAGTATAAACTTTCTGAACCACTTTGGTGTGTTCTAAAAACTTCTGTTTTCGGTTTGATACAGTACGTTTCTGTCTTCATTGTACTGTCCTATTTATTGTATTGCATATATCCTCTTCTAGTGCTTTGTTCGTAACATACAGACTCCAATGTTATTCATTATTGGAACAAAGTTATACTATAAGTAACTAGAATATATAAAATGATTTTTGAACACTCTAGTTATGTCATTTTTTATCTGTGGTTCTCAGTGAGTTAGCAAATATTTGCGAACCAACGAGAGGGGCACAGTACTTTCTCTTTTGAATCCCAAAAGTTTAGGTAAACCCCCCTCCCCGAAGAATTCATACCATCCTGGCTATATTACCTACACCCACGGTATTATCGCTATCTTCTTCTAGTGCAAAAGCTCTAACACATGGTCGCTGTCGTTTCAGCGCTCACTCATAAATCAAGATTTCTATCATTAATGTTGAGGACATTCACATGGCTATTTAAACTTCCACCTATATAGCCCAACTGCAAAACTCTCTATACCAATACCGGTTGATGAGGTCCATATTAACGTTAAGTTCATGTATAGTTTTTGGGTTTTATAACAAATTAAAGGTCAGGTCTTACGTCGGTAAGACTAGCAATTTGCACAGGTGTACCTGACTTACACCTATCTTTTACTAGTGGGAATATATGCTCAGCCACATTTTGATTGTCTGATCAGAGTTTGATTTCAGTTGCTGACATTAGCAATTATTACCATTATTGCCTTGACGTTTTCAATGACAAGAGTTATTTAACACTAATCGGTTTAAGTTACGGAACACAAACACATGAGGCGGATTATTAAGTACATATAACACCCATACACCCATTATAGGTGAAGGAATATTAAGGTAAACTTTATCAAGTAGGCGTTGGAAAGTTACATGAATATAGCACATTTGACAAATACGGAATTTTGATTATCATCTGAATTTCCTTTTACGTTTTAATGGAGTTCTTAATTATATTAGCATCTGCAAATGTACAGTGAGCACAATAATGGTTAAATCCAATAAGTTGAACCAAGAATAAAATGGTACGCTTTTTTTTATTAAAGAAAACAAATAAAACTTTCCCCACCATAAATTTTTTTCCCAAAATAAGAAAATTGTTACTTAATTATAATTTTATCTATTTATGAGTATCACACGTGTATGTCATTATTTCTTGAGAATTTAGTTTATTTGATAATTATTACGATAAGTGTCTTGCGTTTTAATTCTCAAAATTATAGACTATTACATAGTATAGCTTTTTACATAAAACAAGGAAAAACAAGATTCAAGATAAAAAACTATGAATCAATTATGAAACTCATTTTAAACTTGAAAGGTGGTTTATCAATAAACATTTGATTTTCTCAAGCTCTACAGCACAACCACTTTATAAAACTCGTTATTATCCTATTTAAACACTGAAAAGATGTGTTATCTACGCAGTATAAAATATTGTAATCAAGTAAATATATAATATTTTTATTAAGAATGAGCTCAACAACGATTTATATTAAATTCAAACACTTTACTTCCTGGATAGTTTTGTAAAGTTATGTTCTATAAATAAAGTATGATGCGTTAACTATTTCATAAAAATATGGATATATTTAAAATTACGTTAAAGGCTAATCTTTTGTTTGGGCTCATAACAATAGCCTTCGCCGGTAAGAGTTTACTTTCTTATTATTTTCTTTCAACCCTTTAATTTACGACAATGAGAGGCTGTTTTAAAAATTTGCTTATTTTATAAGTTGTACTGGTTGATCATGAAAAATAATATCTGGTATCATATTTGCTACTAAATTTGGCATAATTTAGCAAATAAATATATACAATAATTAAATAAAAAAATCAAACATTTTTTTCCTTTCCATATGGGATATGAAAGATACATAAATAATGTCAAAAAAAAATAAATAAATAAATAAATAAAGTTGCCTCTTCTGTGGTTTGAACTCACGCCCCTCAGTTTCAAAGCAGTTGACAGTGTTTCTATGCTCTTCAAAGTAGAGGTGAATAAGGAATGGTTCACATTTTATGTAGATCTAGACCAATAACTTGTGTGCAAATTTTAAGATCATAACTCTCTTTGTTTTTCCAGAGTAATTATTCCGATTTTGAAAAATGATCCAAAATTGAAAATGCGTTGCAACACTTTTCGCTCAAATCGGACAAGAATTCACAAAAATGCGATTTTTTAATATATTTCTTAGTGTATTTCTTAGTTCTCGTTTGCATATCTTTCTGTTTTAGGTAACCCAGCTGATCTATTAAAAAATTAAATTCTTCTGTTTTTATGCGTGCTATCATTTATTTAAATAAATCATACATATGTATTTCCAGTGTAGTGCTGTACGATACTCCACTAAGTATATTTACATGACAAGACAGGCATTATACCCACTTGATGTAGGTCTGGACCAGTACCTTTCTACACAAGCTCACTTTGTTCTTTTTTTTTTAGAATAATAATTTTTTTTATTGAGTACAATGACCAAAACATGGAAAGCGATTTTACACTTTAAACTCAATTGCATATTGTATCGAGTTAAAAAGAATTGAGTTCCCTTACAACTGCATTGCCTAAATTATTTAAGTTTGATCTTCAGATCTGAACAGATGATACTTATTAACATTGTTTCTTGTCTAACGTGACGAAATAAGATCTTCGACCAAACTTACCTAAACGATTAATGGTAAATGTTTAACTTCTATACTTTCATATCCTTATTATGTTTTACATTATTACATTTATAATTAGACATCAGTTACATCGGGACGGTGGAATTTTACAAGCTGAAATGTGACTTTTTCCCCGTTATGTTACCTTAAATTAAAAGTCATTTTTGAACTGTATAAAATTTATTATTTTTAACAGCCACAACCGCATAAAGTTAAATTGTATACATGCAAATGATAAACAATTTATGCACTTACTTTTATTTAGTGGTAAAAAATGCGATATATATCATAACGCACTTTCGGACGGGGTGGGGAAACTGAAAATCAATATAAAAATCCAAATCCAATATCAATTTAAACGCAACTTTAATTTAAGCACGATGGATGATGAATGTTGACCGATCTACCAAGTTTTACACAGAAAAGTGCTGACAGCTGTGAAATATTACAGGAAGCCATTTCCATTAACTGTAAACATTAGTTAATAATAAATCACCTGTTATTATTAGAAAAGTTATCACCCTGGATTCCTTTGTTTGTATAATAAACAACTTGGCTATTAAGCCTTTGAGATTAATTTTATCTAATCAGTGTCACTATTATGCAGGAAAACTTAAAATGCCATATTATATTTTAAGATTTTGAAGATAAAATGGGAAAATGACCGAAACGACATATTTATAGAATATATTTCTTCTGATTTATCAAGCATTGAAACTATTGTTAACGATGTAATTGATAATAATTTAAGCTTAGATAGCGGTATTGACTCTATATCTGCTATTTTATACAAAAATACATATGATATTTTCGGAGTTACGAAAGTCGTTAAAACGTTTAAGTCCAGACGGAAATTTAAAAGTCAATGGTATGACCAAAATTGTGAGCGTGAAAGAAAGAATTTTGTTCATGCAAATAGATTGTATTCAATTGTAGATCTGCACTTAATAGAGAAAATTTGATTAATAATAGACGATTGTATAGATTAGCTAAGAGGAGAGCAAAGACAAAATATCATTTAGCTCAAAAGAATAAAATGCATAATTTATCAAAAACTTTTCCGAAATTGTTTTGGAAGGAAATAAAATAGTTTAGAAAGAAAAGTCCCGATTGTAAAGTGCCGAGTGAAACGTTTTTTAACCATTTTAAGAATTTATTTAATAGCCAAAATGTATTTTCAAATGATGATGTTGAACAGTGTATTAATAGTGATGATGTTATATTACAACAAGTTGATATGCTAGATAAAGAAATTACAATAGAGGAGGTATCTAAGGCTATTTCTTCGCTAAATAGGAATAAAAGTGGTGGTTATGACTTACTTTTACCAGAAATATTTATTGAATGTAATGATTTATTATCTCCACTTTTAAGTAAAATTTTTAATCATATTTTCACAAGTGGATCTTATCCAATCTCATTGAATAAAGCAAATTATTGTACCTGTCCCGAAAAAAGGGGATCCAGGTGAAGTAAATAACTATAAGGGTATTGCGCTTATAAGTATTTTTTTCAAAAAAATTCTCAGTAATCCTAGATAATAGACTTCGTAAATGGTCAGAGGTCAATAATTTCTTAACAGATTATCAGTATGGATTTAGGAATAGTAGAAGTACTATTGACTGCATATTTGTACTAAATTCTATTATTGATAAGATTATAAAACGTGATAAAAAGAAATTGTACACTGCATTTGTAGATTTCCACAAGGCATTTGATTTAACATATAGAAATGGTATTTGGTTCAAATTAATTGACACTGGTGTCTCAGGTAAAATGTTAAAAATTCTAAGAAGCATGTATGAGGGTGTGAAATTATGTGTACGTAATAATGGCTCACTAACTTTCTTTTTTTATAGTTACATGGGCTTGAAGCAAAGAGAGCCATTATCTCCCTTTTTGTTTATTATGTTTATTAATAATATGCAAGATCAATTAGCTGACGATAGTATAGATGTTTTTACCGTTGAGGAATTACAAATTTATTTTACAAATTTATTTGTTGTTGTTTGCAGATGATACTGCTTTATTTTCTTACTCTGAACAAGGTTTACAAATTCTACTTAATAAATTGTATAATTAATTATTGTAGGAAATGGGGTATTGAAGTTAATTCAGATAAAACAGTTGTAATGGTTTTTAGAAAAGGTAATGGACCTTCAAATATATCGCTTAAGTATGACAATAAAATTTTAAAACAAGTTAAAACATTTACTTATTTAGGAGTAACGCTATCATCTAAAGAAAGTTTTTATCAAGCTCAAAAATCATTGTTTGCCCAAGCTTTAAAGGCTCTTTATTCTTTGAACTCACTTTTTGATAATGTTAATCAAGATACTGAAGATAAATTAAAACTCTTAAATTCAATGGTATTACCAATTTTAAGTTACGGATCTGAAATATGGGGTTTCCATAAATCTCCGGACATAGAACGTGTATACTTAAAGTTTCTAAAACAAATACTTGGTGTTAAACAACAAACATGAAGTACTGCAGTTTATGGAGAATTTAGTGTATTTCCTTTATATATAGTACGTAAAATTAGAATAATTAAGTTTTGGTATAAAATTAAAAATATGCCTGACTCAACTATGAATAAATTAATGATGTTGCAGGGACGAAATAATACATTGTTAAATAGTTGGTCATGCAATGTAAAAAAGTTATTAGATGACCTTGGTTTTTCTTACCTGTGGAATTGTGATAGAATATCTGAAATGAATGTTAAATTAATTATTCAAAGAATCCATATTTACAACAATGGTTATCTGAATTAGACTCATCTTCTAAATTAGATTATTATAGATAATTTAAGCTAAACTTTATTCAAGCTAGTTATTTAAATACTGTTAATGTTGAGGCACATATGAAAGCACTAGCGAGATTTAGATGTTCATCACACAACTTAGAGATTGAAAAAGGTCGATATAGGAATATTATTAGAAGCGAAAGATTATATAGAAGATGTAATATGAATCAAGTTGAATCAGAGTATCATTTTTTGTTAATATGTCCTTTTTATAGAGAATTACATTTAACTCCTAATATGAATAAATTCAATGAGCTTATGTCAACACCCAAAAGATCTGTTATAGTAAACTTGCAAAATTTATCTATCTGGGAGAAACGAGAGTGTTGTTGTATAATAAAATATGTATTTCTTTAAACTATTTTTCATATTTATGCTGTATATTATTATATATGTTAAATATGCAATGTCTTGTATTGTATGTGTTTTTGTGTACTTAAAACTGCCCATCTTTTGTTAAAACATGAACATGAGACATGAATTATATATTTTCATTCTTTTCAATATGATATTACTTTTGTTAATCTAACCGCCAATTATGTGTGGCGAAAAACATGTATATATGTTTATGCTAATAAATACTTTGACTTGACTTGACTTGCTTAGAGGTGTTTTATTACATGAGAATTTTTGAAGTTTAAAAAAAATTAAGAAAAAGTTTCTTATTGAAATCAACTTGTAATTTATCGTTATTATTGTTTCTAACAAAAACAAAAAATCTATAAAAACAGATAATAATTTTGATACTAAACATGACCATACTATCTTAAAGCAAAAATATAAAAATAATTACATATTACACATACAATAAACATGAAGTTGCAATGGCATGAACAAAAAAAACATGGGTATAATTACATCAGTAATCAATAAAATTGCATTCTAACAATTACATCAAAAACGCAGCTTTATAGAATAATCATGTATATATTATATGTCGAAAAATTATATTTTAAGAATTGATCAACCCAGTGCATTCAGTGAATGTGTTGCTTGAGCTCCGATGTTGTAATTTTCAAAAATACGATATACTGAAACAATGATTAAAATTATATTTAAGTTTTAGATATTATTAATTAGAGTACAAGAACTGTGTGCTGTTTTATTTCGTTTTTTCGAAGGTACTGTACAGCAAATTTATATAAAAGGAAAGAAGGTCCCCGTAAAAGGAGGTGGTATACAGCTTGTTTGTGAGGTCTCACAGTTTAGCTCCAATGATGTTGCCAGGGTCTATAAGACAGATTCCATTCCTCTTGAAGACATTACCACTGCTCCATCATTAACAAGCTGTACATCGTCGCAGTGTTTAGGAACTGTACCAAGACATACAATCAGTACTAGCAGCAGTGGTATCACTATAATAGTCACTAATCTCAGTAGATCAGAAGACCAGAAATACTGGACATGTATCCTCAACACTCAGAGAAAATACTTACACCTTACCATATATAGTAAGTATACTTTTAATTGAAGAATTATACATTGGTTGATAACATTATTATTTATGGTATTTGTGTTTTTTAAGAAAACAAATACACAGATGACGATGAAAATTTGGTTTCATAGACGTTGACATACATATATATAATAATTATATATATAGAAGAAGAACACACGAGTTACTTACAACAACCTTGGAGAAGATGAAGGTTAGTTTCTACTAGCCTATAAACTCCTTGTTTATCTTATGGTTCCTGTAATCAATTTACCTCACTAAGGTCGCTGTGTTTTAGTACCACAACATGTCAAATGCATTTTAAAATAAAATGACGGACTCACTCATAACGATATTTTCAAATAGCTTATTCTGTATTTAAACATAGGGTCTTATTACATCTGAATTTAATTATGATGAATTTATTATTTACATATTCTTAATAAAGGTAACTATACATGAAATGTGTGTTGTCTTTTTACAAAAACATGTAATGTGTACTTATAAATGTGAAAGTATGTTAATTTTATAGCTAGAAAAAACCTTACATATAGTTTGCAGCAATTAAGTTTTTTTTGTAATTAGCATGAAATAGGAAAGTGATTGAGGAAAGTCATATTTATCTCGAGTACTATGTACTTTTTAAACTTTATTGTTGTCAGATTTGCTCTTTTATAAAGTTGAATAGGTAAACTGTGACATATATCTAGTAGCCTACTTATTCATTATGGCAAGACATAGTTGTTTAACAATGGGCACTATTCCGAAAACTCTATGTTGGTGTAATGTCCCTTTTTAACTAAAAATTGCTTATCAAAGTGAATTTTTCAAAACTGTTAAATATTTCCAAGAAACTTTGAATACTTGATTATAACGTGAGTGTATTTACTAAGCTGCAGATGCATAAGACTAGGAGCAGAAACCTAAAAACATGTACCCTTTTAACTATTGATAATATAAAATTTACAGAAAAGGCTTAGAAAAAAAGGAGGTCGGGTCTGTGTCGAATCTTTTATGCTGATCGTGATAAATTCTATATCAGATACTTGTTTTGTATTATATGTGCCATGTTTACAATTTCAATTTGCGTGTCTTCTTAATTTCTTTAAACGAAACAATACTTGTTAAGAACTGCCCCGCGCATTAAAAATATGTGAATTTAAAACCAATGTTCATGTCAATAATAAATAGTCCCGATTGTTTCAGTCAATTGTAAGAGAGACTTATATATTTAAAAATACTATTCGATTTAAAGTTTATCCGTTCAATATTTTCAAACTAGAAAGAGGAAGATATACATTGTTTTCTTCATTTTGTAAAGGAAAATATGCATTAATGAAGTTGTCTGATAAAGATTGGTGGTGACCCATAAGCTAAAATAATAAAGAAAGCACTTTATCAACAGCAGTTAATGTAATGACATGATAAAAAGGAAATACAATGCTTGTGTCAGATATAATTTGCGTATTTAACTTATTGATAGTCGTTGCCAAGATGACCGTTTAACCGCATGCGGTTGCACAAACAATAGATAAGGATACAACTAAAATCTTATTGCATGGGAAAAGAGATTGCGTGGCTTTCACGACCTAATTCTCCCACCACAGGGCGGCTATTTTGCTGTCCCAAATATTTTACAGGACGGGTTATTAGGTTTAGGCCAGTAAATATAAAGATTAACCTAGAACTAATTGCAACAGAATTTTTATCAACACCTCACGAAAGAACTTAATCTTAAGTGCTTACCATAAAAAGTCCCCAAATTTTGCGTTTGCAATTAAAAAGATAAGAACGATTTTATTTAGCGATTTTTTCCTTTTTAAAACATGATCCGACTACGCTACCATACCACTAGATTTCACGCGCATTGCTTGTGACGTCAATGAAAATAAGTATGGCGGCGCCCATATTGAATCTATGACGGCTTCCAACAACCTGCGTTTTGGAATTTCTAAACCGTTTGAGGTAAAATACAAGGTTTTTACTCTAAATCTAGATAGGTTTAGATTAATACAATATTTTTTCAGATGTTTATATCGCAAATCTTTCGATGATAACGTTAAATAATAAAGAAATCGGCCAATAATTCATGCTTGCGCCATTGTAAAAAAAAAAAATACTTATTGTAAAAAAGCTTTGAAAATACATGAAAAAATACACCTAGACGTAAATTTTGTACTATTCTTTCATTTGCAATTTGTCATTTCTTTATAATTTATACGAAACAAAAAGAATGAATTGATAATTTTACTTCGCTTGTTGATGATTTTTGTTCTACGGAAGCAAATACGGAACATAAATCTAACATTTGATTATTATTTTTGCTACTCTATTTTGATTTATTTTTCGCTTTAAAGAAAGTTTTACCATTGTGTGGGCACAAGTAAAAAATTCAAAGTTACTTTTTTTGGAATTTCTATGCGTCATTATCAATTTTAATAATGGCAAGATTATACAGTTTAGTTTTGAAACTTGTTGTAAATTGCGAGATAATATAATTAACAAACACATAGTCATCAAACTTTGTCTTATTTTGAAACATTTTTGGTCGTTTTTTTTTATTTTTTTTTTTAATTTAGTTTAACTCAACAAACATTAAAACTTTGATAAAATAGCAATGCAATAATATAACTTGATATTTTTACTATTATGAGAATCTTACTGTTTTGAATCTTTTAATATATTTTGATCAATATTTGCAAAATGATATATCTGTAATCTATTTGATCTTTATCAAAACCAGTGATCTTTTGTTCCAGATGAAACCAAGTTCCTGTCTAAACTTCGCAAAGAGTCAATCAATGACAACAAAATCTTCTGTCCGTATTCGAGTTGGGGAAAAGGGATACCAAGGATATGTGCTGCTTGGAAAAACAATCACTTGAATTTGAAATAAATCCAAAAATCCATGTCCCAAAAATCTTTTGGACAAAACATTTATAGCAGATACATCTGCTGAAAGAAAGTTCTGTAGCTCCCAAATTTCAAGCCTGGATGGTTATTTCGTGGAACCTTTGCTAGATAAAGTATCTTAAATAGAAAAAATCTTTTAATACTATTTTGTTTTCTAGATTAAAATTATAAAAGCACTACCATGAAAATATAGATAGTGGTGATCAGTGGGCATAGAATGTTAAAATTCGTCTGCCTCGTGTTCTATTACAATCATTGATGTAACGTTAATTTAAGGACGGACAGGAAAAGGCATTCCGAGGGCATATCAGACAGAAATGCGCGAACCACTAACATTCAGAATTCCCGGTTGACCTGGAAAAAGGGAACAGAGAGATGCATTTGAAAAGGTCATTTAATTGATTTATATTTGGTGACTTAGTGTCCAAAATGACAAATACATGTGGCAACAAGGCCAAACATATGAAGAACACTTTGGTTATAATGTGGAAACAAGCATTAATGATGGTCATTAGTGTCTGGTTTATGTAACCATTTAACCAAAGTTTATGGTGGTGGTTGGTACTTTTAACTCCGGATCACAGTTTAGCCACTGTATCATTCCTGGGGAGACTGTCAAGTAGTTTACCATTACTATTGCCTTCATTTATGCAATGAACTGTACCCTAATGTGCCAGCGCAAAGGTACAGTGCGAACAACCGTACACAGGATTCCATGATCAATAATAAAGAAGGTGACCTACTCAGTCCTGGAATCCAACCCAGGTCTCCATTCACATTCCAACGCTCTACCTACTGAGCTAACCATGTGGCTCTAAAGTTGAGATCTTCTTATGTGTATTTGTAGATCTGACGATGATCGAAAGAAGGTCACGGTCATGTAACCTTTTAATCAGCCAATCTGTGGCCGCTTTCGCGTTCACGAAAATGGAGCACTTCTATTTTCAAGCGTTGGAAACCAGACACGTGTAATACAATTAACATGATTTCAAGACATTACATTTGACAAAAATGACGATGCCTTGTGACAATTTTAAGATAAATGGCATAACTAGATTTAACGTTTTGATACCGAAATTGATAGTCTAGAATATAATTTTTCGCAGCAATTATATTCTAAATATCTACTTCATTTTTTTCTAAGTCAAAATCAATTCACGGACGACATAAATAATTGTCTGTAAGATTTGCTAAAATAACCTTATTATAAAATCCAAATAGGCTAAAAGTCGAAAAAGAGTGACTGGGAATTAGATCTACATGTTATACACATAAGAAGGTAGGATTTTCCGAAACTTCAGTCAGATTGGCGTTGGGCTATGAACCGGGCGATTCAAACAATGTACAGGATTGATCATGAAATCTACGGTCATTTGCTTTGTGCCACTGCTCTGGCATATAAAGAGGAAAGTAAGGGCATTTAGTACTGGTCAACTGGTTTGCATCCTGCACAGGAATGGCGTCTGTGCATGCCATTTGTTACTCAATCAATAGAATGAATAATGACATGTGTAAATTTAAAACTGGTACTTTTTATATGAAATCAAATGTACGTTACATGTATATCTTTATTTGCATTTTTTAAATATTGTAAATGGGGAAAATAAAGTTATTTTCTTTTTGATTGACAATGAATATACTTGTTTTATTATAAGTGTAAATTTATTTGAGATTGTTGAGCAAAGTATTAATCAATTTGTTATATTTATAAACTTGGCAAGTTTGTTAGTATAGCAAGGAACAAAATATGGTAAACAAGATCAACAGGAAAGGCGGGGTTCAATGAACGGCCTAGCAGCTTTGGCTTTACATGTATATGCAAACAACCGCTCATAAAGGGGTATTCCCTTTCGAACATCTTAAATTATAACATTAAACTGTTCTATTAACTGATTTATTATATTGCTGTGGGGCGATAAGGTCGTTGGCTTTACACCACAAACCTCTTACCAATATAGGTTTGAAATTTGAGCCATATAAGGGCCATATTCTTTTATGTGAGTCGGCTATTCAGCTAGATTGTTTAACTCAGGCGCCCGTTTGTGCATGAAATAATGCAACACGAAGTGTCTGTGGTCATCATCCACTAGGTAAGCTTATAGTGTTACACAAACAAAATATAATTATGGTTTCAATTAATTTATTAATAACTTCAAGAAATTCAGCCAATGTTTATCACTTCGTGATTGTAAAAGAGGACTAAATTAGTTTGAATTTCTTGAGTCTAAGCACATCGCTAAGCTCAAGCAGGTGTGGTGGCTTTGACACCTGGTGTTTTTTAAGTTTGTAAACCCGCGGTGAGTCGAGTCATCTTTCATAGTTCTGGCCATGTGACCAAATTAGCGTTTGTAGCGCCTTAAAATCAACCAATCAAAGAAAAACTATTCTGCAACAATACCATGAGTATGTCAGTAACTCGAAACAGACGTTGGTATGATAGCAGTAGCTCATGAGGCTCTTACGTTATAATTACATTTTCGTGTGTTATAAACGTTCCTTTGAACCTTAAAGTGGACTTGATGCGTTTTGTTTGATGAAATGACAGTCGAAATCGTATTAACATTAATGATGTTATCAGGAAACATTCCTGTAATATATAAGTTATACTTTTTTAAAATGCATTAGTGGGTGGGGTAATATTTTTATGCAGTTTTAGTAAAAAAAAGTAGGTAATCGTATGCTTACTGCATTTTTATTGATTGTCATTTGACACTATAATTTTTTAATTACGTTTTGATATTGTAATGATATATTTGATAAAATTTTACAATAAATATTGATATGTAAACTGACTTCCTGATTCTGTATATTTTTCATGAAATCCAAGGTATCATGTAATTAAGGCATTATTTTCTAAGCAATGGCAACAGCAAACGTTCGGGACTTTTTATGGATAAATGTACATACATACTAGTTTTAGAAAAACAAACTTTTAAAACTGTTGCAATTAGTTCTAGGTTGACCCCCATATTAGGGTATATTGACTGGACTAGTTAACATAATGCCGAGGTGTTATTTACTATGTGAGTAGTATCATTAAGTATGTTTTGTCCATTCCATTCCAGCCATCACACCATCACTCTATTATGATAATCCACCAAGCCAGGACCAAGACCTCGTTCAAAATTCGGTGACATTTAAATGTAGCACATGATGCGCCTATCCTTCACCCAACTTCATATGGTATTATATTAAGGTAATATAACACGTTTATTTATCTTTTCCCAGAAGGTCATAGACCCACTTGGTACAATATACAAAATATATAATATGGCAAACGTGCATTAATATTAAGTTGACATGATCTCTTACATGCATTGCAGTAGCACATTTTACATAGGAAATGAAAACATATATTTACCTATTACATGATGTACATAACTATAATAATTCACATTTTCGTCGTATGTGTCAAAAGTATATGCAACATAAGTTTTAAGTGTGACAAAAAAAATCCAATTGTACGGACTTTACATATTAGATTTGATCTATCACAAGTGAAGTAGATATAATGGACAGATTAAAATCTTTGTCAATTGAATATTGAATTTAAATCATATATATAATATCTAAGATACAATAAAAATAAGATAATTTCGTAAACTATTTCAATCAAAGTGACGTTTTACCTGGTTTTAAGGATAAAATTATTGTATTTCGTTTAAGTTCGTGGTATTTATATACAATTTAGTACGAAGTAACGTAGTACAGTGTGATAGATGTACATGTGTACATTCATTGAGTGTTATTGTTTTTACAGATAGGTGGATCTCGTCAAAAATGGTCAACAACACCACCTGTAACAGAAAAAAATGGTGGTTGTACTGATTCTGAGAAAATATATACATCTGCATTAACTCTGTCAAGATACACAGTGTTTCCTGACAATACAGATATCACTGTGAAGTTACAGTGTGGCGCTATATCAATTACTGGGAATCAAAGTTATACACAAACATCTGTAAATGTCAGATTTGCAGGTACATATTCTGTAGTTTTTCTAACAAATAACAAAGCTAATATGTTACATTCTGCCAAACTATCTCTTTACACGAACAACACTTTTTGGTCAGATGGTGGGTTTTCTACAGCCTGGGATTCTGGCGTTGATATTTTTTGCTTATTCATAACATACGCGCTATTTCAAACCCGATCATTGATAATATCAATGTCGATTTGCCGAATATACCGGCAACTGGAGCCCAGGCTAGGATTTCTATAAGAAAGAAATACAAATTTAAGATATTGAGAAAGTATAGTATATAATCTTAAATAATCTTTAAAAAAAATTGTTAAAACCTTTTTGAAACTTTTGTTCCTTAAAGATTGATGATGGTGAAAATATGAAGTGCATACTTAGTCCATTATTCTGCTACTTTTTCATTTGATAAATTTCGCTGTAATGTTCCATTTACATAAATGTGTTTCCTTTGATTTCCGCTGCAATGTTTGAACAAATTGTCGAAAAACAAGAACGAAAAACATAAGCAAATACCCGATCAAATCTTCAAAGCATACACACAGATGATATACGAAGTGATTTGAAATAATATAGGTAACGTTTTACTTCAGTACAAGTTTCAGCAGTGACATTAAAAGATGTAGATTCAATTCCATCAATTCAATTAGAAGTAAACAGTGGGGAATCTCATACATTGACATGTACATCTAGTGTCAGCAGACCAACAGCAACTATCATCTGGTATTTTGGAGGTCAGAAAAACAAAACAGAAACTACTAGGACATCTACCTTTACATTCACGCCAGAAAATTCAGATAATCAGAAACAAGTTTACTGTAAAGCATTCAACATACAGTCTGAAAGCCAAGCTGTGTCTTCAGACATTGTGTCACTTTATGTAAAAGGTATATCCAATCCTAAAAACTCTTTTCATCCCCAATTAAAGAATATTAAATAACCGCAGTGACTAAAGAAACGAGTAACTTTCATTATTTGTTTTTACTTTTATTTGTGCGTCTGTGCGTTTAGTTGAGTATACTTTAGAAACTAATTTGTTGTAATGTTTGCATAGTACAACATGAAAATCAAACTGTTTTTATATAGTTGAGCTAGACAAAAGATTTATAATTGCACTAGTCAAATGTATTACCAAATGGCAAATCAGTTAAGTGCTGCAAAGACCTATATATCTGTAACATTCTATGGTAACATATAATTATTTTCTGGAAAAGTTCTGGCTCCTTACTGGAGAACAATTTTATGTTTTCATTCAGAACATGTCGTACCTTGACTTGATTAACAAATACTAGAATATCTTCTGAAGGAGAAAAAAGATGACTGCATTATAGGAAGATATGAGATAACTAAATCCTGACTCAAATTCTTCTTCATTTATACATGTATAAGTTTACTTGAGTAAATTATACTAACTTATTTTTGAAATAAAAATAATTTTAGTAATTGTATAGACACTGATATTTTTATAATACACTTTTTTATTCGAAAAAAACTTTTTGCATTACACAGAACGAAAAAGAATATATATGTGTTTTGATTACACTCATCTAGATAATACTGTTTAAATAGAAAAATAATCTTGGGTGATCTAAATATAATAAAATATTTTACACATTTCAGTAAAGGTAGCTATTGTAACACTAAAGGATGGCAACACCGAACCATCAGGAACACTAGAAGTAACAAATGCTGTATCTAAAACATTGACATGTACAGCAAGTGAAAGCAGACCAACAGCCACAATTATCTGGTATATAGGAGATGATGATGAGAAGAAAAGGGAAACTGTTACACTGTCTTCATTCACATTTACACCAGTTATCTCCGACCATAACAAACAAGTTTATTGTAAAGCTTCACAGTCAGGAAATCCAGATGTTGTTTCAAACAGAATAACACTTTATGTTAAAGGTTGTGATTTTTTTACATTCCTATTGCTGACTTGTCTCAATTTTAGCTTCAAACTGTAAGAAATGTTTTATAAATTCTTATACTGTAAACAATTTTTGTTTTAACATTGAAAGGATTTTACTAAAATAATGTTATCTTCATATCACAGAGGCAAGCATTGCATTTGGTTAAAAGATGATAATAAAAAATGCGCTTTCAGTTCCAAATAATACTTTTTTTATATTTATATTTTTTTATTAAGTATTTTTATTGAGCCTAATGGTCATTAGTCTAACACATAGCGATTGGTCATGATAAATTGATAATTAATGTTAGTTACTCAGGAATGCCCACTTAAGTGAACCGACCGACATGATATGACAATGCAATTGTGCTAAAATTGGCAAAAAAAAACCCAGAAAAATAAAAAGCCATGAAAGCTTACGCAACAAATTATATTATAATACACCATAATATATATAGCTTACCTTTAAAAGTATAGAATAGAATTTCTAGAAATAAAGCTTTATGGGATATACTTGTTTTTATTCTTTTTTGACAGAAAGTATTGTTAATCTTTCAGTATTGGCTTTGATTCCTACAATAACAGATCTTAAAAAAGAAAAATTAGAAGGAGATCAAATAAAATATCAATGCACTTCCTCTCAAACACGACCTGTTGCTATAGTAACATGGAAGCTGGGTACTCAAACATTGACTGATGTACAGAATACAGAACATAGTCATGGAAATGATCTTAAATCTGTTACAAGTATTGTAACATTTACAACAAAAAGAACTGATAACAACAAAACAATAAACTGTGAAACTGCAATACCTGGTCAAAATGTAGTGAAGGTTCAAGAAAAGATAACTGTGTATTGTAAGTAGAATGAAAAAAATACTAGTATTTCATTTTTACTTATGGTGTGTGTAAAATAAAAACAAAATGATATGTCCAGTTGAGTTATTATTTGAAAATAATATATGTACACAAAATCATCATTCAGAGCATCATTGCTGTTGTAGAAAATAATATAAAAAGAATACTGCTTTGTAGTTTTAAAGATATTCAGAATTAACAGACGATAGACTTATAGTTTTGTTGATACTATTTTTTTAGATTTAAAAAGATATCATTTCCATGACATGAATGCTTAGGTTTTGAATACTGCAGCGGAAACTGCAATAAATAACGAATAAGTAACATGTTCAGTGTTTAAGACATAATTTGGAGATAATATGGAATAACTAATAAACCATTGAATTTTTACTATAAGTTTGCCGAATCGCTGTTTTCTTATTTTTGTGTCTCCATTTTTGTGTCTGTTTGACTTTGAAAAATAGTAAAATTATAATTTTTATTTATTATTATACCATTAATTATTATTGTTTTATTTACAGGGCCACCAGTGTCACCTGTTATATCAACAATCAGTTTTCCATTTCTCGAAGGTCAGACAGGAAAGAGTATTTATTGTTCCTCATCTGATTATGGTAATCCTACAGCAACAGCAACATGGACCGCACAATATGGATCACCTGATAGTGCTGATACAAGGAAACTAAGGTTTCCTAAACTAACATACCAAGGTGATAGAAGTCCAGTAAAATGTCAGTTGAAGAATTTATTTACGCAGAAGAAATGTCTTCAGATCCAGTCCATACAAGTTCTATTACAAGTTGAATGTAAGAAAAATGAATATAATTAGCATTAAAAGCACGGAAACGATCACTCTAGTATACTTAAACACGAATTCAGAATGTTTCAATGTCAATCCTGCAATTGACTTAAAGCTTGATCCTTACGCAGACTCTCCTTGTTAGCAAAGACGATTGAAGTCATTGTCTCTTACGATGCTTTAAAACCCACGTATTTCGATCCATGTTGTTTAAAAAAGAACTGAAATAAATAGAAAAGAAACTAAACTATTGTCGGATGAAATAAAACAATGTCCTCAAGTATGAATATTTTTACACGAATTTTACAGATTTTCCAAAAGTACAAATTATGGCGAATGGGAAACAAGTAACTACCATAACGACAAATGAAGGTGAAACGCTGTCTGTTACATGTAATGCCACTGGAAATCCAACACCAACAGTAAGCTGGGTGGGACAACAGTCCAGTGGCCCTACTTTGTCATTTGATGATATAGATAGAACAGACCATGGTAACTACACATGTAGGGCTACAGCAACATCATCTCATTATCCCAGTCATAACTTTGGTACAGAAGAAACATTGGCTGTCGTTGTTAACTGTAAGTTGCTATAAATATACTTATGATGACTATTCATTATTTGTTTGGGGTATTGTTATTAATATAAAGTGTTACACCTTGCAAATAGAATATAAGCTACAATGCAAAATAAATTTTATATAACCCTTTAATTTCTAAATTCGTAGGTGGTAAATTTTTCCACCAGTATCATAATATACCAGCCAGTATGACTTTGCACTTTGACAAGTCTCTATACCTTTAAAAGCTTAATTTCTGTTTTTGATATCAAAATCTCTTAAACTTTTAATGGATTGTTTTAAATTGAAAGCTGGTCAAATCCATTACTCTAAATAAATAAATTTAGCAGAAAAAGAGCTAAGTCAAAAGTTTTGTCAATTAAATAGACCTGTATTCACCTTTTGCAAACTTAATTACTTTAGTGTTTAATAAACTGATGAAGCTCATTGACAGCTTAACATTGTTTTCCTGTTACATTATGCTCACTCTTTCGTTGCCCAGTTAAGTTGGATCATAAATGTATTTTAAAAAATGACTTTTTTAATGGGGATTGACAAATAACTGATAATTATGTTTAGGATATGATATGAAAACTATCTAAAATAAAAACAGATTGCCCAGGATTTTCATTAAATATACTTGTACATGTTATTTCACAACTTGTGTTTCTCCTGTTCTTCTTTACAGGTCTCTAAAACTCAGTAACCACTCAAAGTCAGTATTTTAGGTATTTTAGGTATTCTACTTCTTGATTTATTTTCCACAGAACGAGATTTTCTTTTCAAAATACGAGGGTGGGTCAATATGTAATGCAATGAAGTATATTTACCCTTTTCCTGTAAATGTCATTTGTAGTATTTATGGCAACAATGAAGAATGTTATGCATCTGTTTTGTTTGGATGGATATATTATTAAAAGGAAACCAGTTTGCAAGTGTAAACAAACAGATGTGGGCCTACAAAAATGTCCGTCGACCATATATTGCCGTTGTGAAGATGAATAAAATTAAACTTTCCTGCACCGAATCTTTCTAACATTTCCAATACGTTGATAACTAATCATAAAAGAATTAAAATTGCAGATGCCGAAATAAATAGTTTATGTCTTAATAGCATTCTTATATTTATAGGTAAGGCAACGGGATATACTTGTAACAACTGTCCTAATACCTGTTCATGTAGTAATATTCAGGCAGTGATTGTAGGAGTTGTACTTGGATTAATCATCGTGATAGTCGTGGCATATGCTGGTTATGTTACAATATTACTGAAACGAAAAAATGGAAACACAGGTGGGGTTCTTTTGTTCTTTTTTGATAAATATTTTATTTGTTTTTAAAAATTAAGTTGTTTTTCTAAACTAAACTATTGTACAGTTTTCACTTTAGAAAGAAGAAATTATGTTTCACGTTTGTTTGTATTTTCATTGTCAAACATCGATGGATTTTCTGTTTTACCTAATTCTTATCATTTTGATTTTTTGCAGAAAATACCTTTGTCCAGCCGGCTAAGTAAGTTCTCATGTTTCTTTAAAGTTTTTTATATATTAAACAATGAAAGTCAGTCAAATTGATGCTTTTTGGAGTAATATAAATCGCAATTTCCTATGCATTATAACGTCGTTTTTGTTTTCATTTCAATCATATTGTTTCTAAAATTTTATGATATAAATGTTTAACATAATTAAGAGTAGCCTATATACATTGATTAGATAAAAATACATCAATGCAAAAACTGATTTTAAAAAATCAACCATAAAATAAATATTTAACTAATAATCATACTTGTAAAAGAATGAAAATTTATGAAAATGATAAAAAGCATAAACATCATTTAGGAAAAAGCGAATATGAAAATTAAAAAAAAGATTGTATTTTAACTACAGACGCACTGTGCCTTTATATACTAATATGGTGTTCTCAACAAATGATGGTGAGGACCAACAGGGAACAGATCCAGATGAATCCGGAGAGTCTCAATATACGTCACTGAAGACTGAACTTAAAGACGATAGACAAACATATGACCAATTGAAAGTGTAGCAATTAAATGAATAAGAAGAAACAAGAGAAATAAATAAAGTTTTGGGATAACAAACATATACGCATAGACTTCAGGAAATAGAAATATGAAAGTAAAATCTCTAATGAGGCAATAGAACGATGAAAATTTTACATTGTACTGCAATCTATTTCTAATGCAATGTTATAAAAACCACATAAATTTTCGGAAACCATTGAGCGATCTTTTGTGAAAGTGTTTGATAAAGAAACAACAGAATATAGAAACAATAAAGATAAAGGTATTATCATCTGTGTTGCCGAGTGGTTAATGTTGCTGTAATCAAACCACTTGCACCTCACCGCTATGATCCGATTCTTTCATACAAGGAAAATATCGAACAGCGGTGTTTCTGCTCAGGGCCCTGTTCATGTCTGAAATAATAAACAGAGAGACGCCTGCGCTTTTCCTCAACCAGTAACGCAAAGGGTCATCTCTGATTACAACAGTGGTCTAAAATGTGAATTGACATGATTTAACTTGTTTCCCTGTTTTCTGATTATTGTTACCGATTACCTCGAATATGTGTCAATCTTTTCTACTGCTATTTTAACTACATGGGCTTGATATATATTTTACTTTTATTCTTATTTATTGACAGAATATCAAAGTCCTGTGTTCAAAAGACATTTATTTTTTGTAGTTAAAAGAATTAGGAAAACAGGTTAAACGAACGTAATAATAAGAAGAACGTAATTAAAATGAGTTTGCCTGAACTGTTTAAATTGAACAAAATCAAAAAAGATTTAACTTGTACTGCCTTATGAAACTTATGCCAATGCGCATCCCTAATTTTATGTACAAAAGCACTTACATTGAAATAGTTATATAGTTGAGCTGAAGGTAGCGAAGGTTAACTAAGGCAACTATGCCACTTATTTCACCACAGCTTTCTATCATCTTTCACATGTATATGTTTTCACATGTATATGTATAATAATTCTCTGTAAATATTTTGTGATAATCTTTGTTTACAGTTAAATCTTTATATCAATAATATTATTGGACTTTTGTTCTGGTATATTCCTAAATACCCTATTAAGGTTTCATGACTATTTCCTTGCAGCTATATTTGGAAATCGAAAATTAAATGTATCGGGTGTACAAACATTTTAGCTTAACATTGATACCACATTCAATATTACAATCCGTTCATTTTGCTCGCTCATTGATTCCAACACTTAAAAAATTCAGTACCGCTCAGCCGGTGCTGGGGGGCTGTGAGATGTTGCAATTTCATGATCGTCCAGGGACAGACTCAATTAAACCGTGTCTGCAATTTTTATTTAATTTTGTTGTGATAAATGCTTTCGATGGATCACACTTTTCCCAGATTTTCGTTGTCTACTCGCATACTGTAATACTAAAATAATAGTAGAAGATGTGTGCCATTAAAATAGGTTTTATATTTCTTGACATAGGATTTAAAGACATTTTTGATAAAATCTAGTCTGTTTATGGACAAAAAGAAATGTCTGTTTCATCAGTTATTCGCTGGTTTAATAAATTCTAATGCGGGTTAATTTGGACTGAAAATGTGTCCTATGTCCGTCGCCAAAAACAGCAACATCTGTCAAGATTGTTGCTAATATGATACCGATGCAAGATACACTACTAGGTAAATAGCTATTGTCTTTGCATCTCATTAGGAACAATGTTGTTTGAAAATGAGAACGATCTGTGCTACATGAATTCTTCATTTGCTTACTTACAGATGAGCAGAAAAAGGCTTGCGTACAATGCGCTGAACAATATCCAAATATTATGCACGGTCCTTTGGAAATATCGCCACTTGTGTGCTTATTTTTACAAGCAAAAACAAAAAAAACCCCTATAAAACAAGATCTAAGCTTTGACATCTGGCAAAAGACCATGCATTTCAAAAAGGACCACCAGTATAAAGAAGGTATTGTATGTCATTTTCTTTACAACTCAGGTTTCCGCCATTCAGGTTTCTTTTTTTATAGACAAATCTGTAAATGTGAAATTTTACAAGACAAATGTTCTTTGAAAACTAAACAAAACTTTTGACGACCCTTGCAACAGGAATCAGTTGTAAAATTACTGCATGACAAGTCATTGCACAAGGTATCTCTAGTGTAAGGCTTCTCTGAAGTAGAAAAAAATTGTTGTGCTCCCGCATCTTCCGTATTCCCCTGTGACCTCTTTATGTTTTCAAAGTTAAAAAAATACCGTTCAGTTCAAAATTTTGTTCATCGTTTCCTTTGTCTTCATAGTAAACATTAAACGACTACGAAATTGCCATTAAAGATTGGATCTATCTTTTGCATATTTATTGGAGGTAAATACTTTAACGGTACAAAGAAAATTGGTTAAACCTATATAGAAGCAAAATTTGCGCGCTTAGATGCATTCATTTTTGAACACTCCTCACACCTTGTCCTGGAATTTTGATTTGACACATTTTTGAGAAATATTCTGGAATTTTCTTTATACGTGTATGTTTAATTATCTTGAGCATTTCTTGAAAGTAACATAATGCCCATTCAAGTATAAATGATCAGGGGACAGGTAAAAATAAAACTGACTTCATATTTTGCCATAGTTGTGTTGAATTTTATGTTTTAAAATTATACATTAATCAATAATCTAGATGACCATCGATATTTTCTTTAATTGCCATTTTATAATGTCTCTGTAACGTTCATTGATCAATAAGAGTCGGTGAGTTTTTTTTTATAATTTAGGTAGTTTTTTAATTAAATTGTATCATTTTTCATTTTCAAAAATCGGTCAGTAATTGTTATAATTATATATTACTAATTCAACTCAATTTTGTCAGCAAAAACATGAGAATAATGTCACTTTAATAGGAATATCAAAGTAAATCTTTGGGCTTAAAATATTGAATTAAATTTTTATCAGTTATAGTTTATTTATAACCAAAACGTTTTGAACTAGTTTTCATTATTATTCGTAATTCTTTAACTAAATTTTTCAACAATTTATGGGATATCTCCTTGAAATTTATTGTGGACATTTGTTGAAAATACTACAACAAAAGGTTTAAAAAATGTGATCATACATCAGAATCAATATTAAGGACATCACTTAATCATTTTAACATCACGACATTGTAAAACTTTTGTATTTCTATTATTTAGTTATTTGTTTCAATAATGAACTAATGTTGTTTTAGGTTTTGCTTTTTTGTTACACCTTCGGCTGGTACCAATACGAAATACATGTAAAATGCGACATATCCCCAGTCAAAAAAAGTTTTACTATTTGGATTAAATGAAAAATAACACCTGCGTAAATTATTATTCAGAATATTTATTTTCAATCCAGAAATTAGTTATAATATAACTTAAGTTTACGAAAAACAAGATTGTAAATTTGTTTCCATAATTGAAAAGAGGTCCAACCCAAAATTTTGTTTTACCTTTTGCTGCATGTCAAACAACATTTGGTTTCCTTACCCCATGATGTTTTACAACACTTAGCTTTCTTACAACACACCTTCTTTAATGCTCCATTAACTTCGATCTTGGAACAACACTTGCCGCCAAAACAAGGTGCAGATGTAGGACCTTGAGTTGTGTTATCTGTATCACAACACGATTTATAACAATCTGTTTGGGCCGCTTCAGCAATTTTGCAGCATTTAGTACCTTTACAGCATTTCTTCTTGCCGTTTACCTTTACACAACACTGCTTTCCCTGTTTACACGGCGCAACAGTTGTTGTGGTAGGTGCTTCAGTGGTTGATGTTGTTGTGCTGGTTGACGTAGTTGTTGTACAGATGTTAGGTGATGACGTGGTTGTTGTTGGACTCGTATTCCCAACACAGCGACCCCGATAACACCACTAAAAAGATAAAATTGGACTAACACATTAAAAAGATTCAGACGACACTTTGATACAAAAGAAGAATCATATATACTTCTTAAAATATGATAAGGGCCAACTGTTTTCTCCGATGACAGCCACGCCAATAATATAAGCAGGGACATACATTTGTTGCTTAGACCGAATGCAATTATTTCCAGAACGCTATTCTGTTATGAAACAGCTTGCAGAATGCAACAATGTACATGTACGAGTTTTGTCCATACAAACTGCGGTGTTTCTAAATTTAGAATTTCACCATTACCATGTTTAAATGTTGAGTTCTCCTTAAGCCGGTGCTAGGGGGCGTATCAAACCGAGCCTGCAACATATTCAATTGTGCATTTTTGCACTTTCTTCAGGGATTATTCTATTCTCTTTTTTACCTAAACAATAAGAAATATATTGCATGATGCTGGTGTGAATGCAAGACGTCCCGTCATTCGTGTTCCTTTGACGCATAGTCACGTCAGAGAACACGTACGATGTGTTCGTGACCATGTGCAATGAAAAGACACCACAATTGGACTGTTGTTTGGGGTCCGCCTGGGCTCCTTGCCACTGGTTCTTGTTGCTGGGTCGTGTGGGGGTTGCGTTCATTGAACGCCGCCTTTCCTTGTTGATTTTGTTTATCATATTGTTTACTGATGAGTCTAGAGTTGTCGCCTAGACTTTACAGATAGTGAAGGAGACCAAATGAACGCGTTGCACCTGCTTCCATCTTGTAAAATGACCGATTATGTGAAGAATATGATAAGATCAACAAGGACAGGCGGCGTTCAATGAATGCAACTCCCACATAATCCAGCAACAAGAACCAGCGGCAAGGAGCCCAAGAGGACCCCAAACAAAAAACAGGGCAGGGCACATGGCAGAGCACGGACAGGATAAAGACTAAAATTATACTCATGGTATGGGTAGGAAGAGTCATTGGCAAAACGGACTTTAATATTATTTATTTACATATTGGCACCTTGACATCAGAAAGGTATAGTCATGAGATTTTGGCGTACATGTACGTTCATATATACAGGTGTAGTGTGTCCATATTTAATTCTAATAAAGGACAATTCTCGCCCAACTACCCTATAATTTGCACGTGCAACAATCGGGATCTTGCCTTTGCCTGCTAGACTCCCGGATCTTAATCCGATTGAACATGTGTGGGGCATGCTTTAGGAGGCAATTTGTTGCCCTGTGTAGCTGATCACTCTTGCAGAACTTCGTGCTGCCTTACAAGAGTGGAACAAAATTCCACTATAAAGATCAGCCGGCTCATTTACAACATGCACATCCGCTGTCAGGCTGTATAAGAATTCTGATTCAACGTCAGACAACACAGAATGAGAACGGTGACCCCTTAATTTGTATCGCTTAAAATGTTTCTAGTATCATATTCTAACAACATGCCAAGTTTAAAGAAATTTTATTTTTAACAGTTTTTTTTTTTTGCCTATTTGTTTGTATGAAAACTCCCGAAAACGTTCTTAATAAATGTTATAAGCTTAAGTTATGAATGTCTTAGTTAAGATATTAATTTTGCCAAGGCAGGCGCGTAGCTAGCCTATAAAGAATGTGGATTCAAAATAATCTAGGGGCGTCAGGGGGCATGCCCCCCCCCCCTGAAAATTTTGAAATAAATGGTGCAATTTGGTGCGTTTTGGGGCCTCCGGAGAGCTTTCTTGACCAACGAAAATCCATTTATTTTAGCATAAAAATGGAGATGAATAGCTTTACTTTCGTTTATTTCAACTACTCTACATTTCACAGCAAGTCTAACTTGCGGCCTTTGCTGGCCGCAAACTCGTTAATGATAATATCAATATCTATTTCCATGTGTCTGTAGGCGTGCAACAGCCTTGTTTACATTTCGAAAATACGGCGCGTGCAAACTTTCGACTTTGAAGAGCTGCAAAGGCCGACAACTTTTCAAAAAAATACTACGGTATGGTGTACGATTTAGGCTATATGATTTATAAAGTATTCAGTGTGGTAATTATCAGATCTGGCGAACGCGGCTGAATTTCAAACCACATTTTTTTTACTAAAAAATTTTTTTTTGTCAAAATACATGTAATGTGGATTCAGCTGCGTACTCGCGTATAGGCAGCTACGCGCCTGCAAGGTATCATTCTCAAAACATCAAAAATATTGTAAGATATAAAGTAAAAACCTTATTATCCGCTAAAGCACCACAAGGTGTGCCGGCTAAGGGGTAAAGTGGATGATGGGCCTCTTCGCAGCCGACTGGTAGGTCCGATCTTGTAGAACAATGGTAGCCAGTATAACAAGCCTCTTCTTTTATAGTCTTAAATAAAGAAATATCATTTCTAAATCTAGATCTACATGTATTTAAAAAAATAGCTCTCCACTTTTTTATCCTCAACCGAAATTTGAAAGGAGATCATAATCATCCACCATGTCATTTTGATTGGCATGGTAATACGAGGTTAAGTAATGAAAATATCTAGTTGTTTAATATAAAATGTATGCTAGTTTATATAAAACGTATGCTAGTTTGATTTAAAATGTATGCAAGTTTGATTTAAAATGTATGCTAGTTAATATAAATGCATGCTTATTTATATAAAATGTATGCCAGTTTATATAAAATGTATGCTAGTTTATATAAAATGTATGCCAGTTAATATAAAATGCATTCTAGTTTATAGAAAATGTATGATTGTTTATAGAAAATGTATGCTAGTTTATATAAAATTTATGCTAGTTTATATGTTTATATAAAATGTATGCTAGTTTATAGAAAATGTATGCTAGTTTATAGAAAATGTATGCTAGTTTATATAAAATTTATGCTAGTTTATATGTTTATATAAAATGTATGCTAGTTTATAGAAAATGTATGCTAGTTAATATAAAATGTATGCTAGTTTATATAAAAGGTATGCTGGTTTATAGAAAATGTATGCTAGTTAATATAAAATGTATGCTAGTTTATAGAAAACGTATGCTAGTTAATATAAAATGTATGCTAGTTTATATTAAATGTTTGCTAGGTAATATAAAATGTTTCCTAGTTAATATAAAATGTATGCTAGTTTATGTAAAATGTGTGCTAGTTTATATAAAATGTATGCTAGTTAATATGAAATGTGTGCTAATAAATTTAAAATATATGCTAGTTAAAATGAAATATGTGCTAATAAATTTAAAATGTATGCTAGTTTATCTAAAATGTATTCTAGTTTATGTGAAATGTATGCTAGTTTACAAAAAAATGTATGCTAGTTTATTTATAATGTATGCTAGTTTATTTAAAATGCACGCTAGTTTATAGAAAATGTATGCTAGTTAATATAAAATGTATACTAGTATGTGTTTGTTTAATGTCAGAAACATATGCAGTGATTACACCATAAAAAACTCTATAAAAGCTTCTAAGCAAAGAGTAAAATGTTTTGATCTTCAATTTGTATAAGAGTATCAATTAAAAATACTTTTAACATTCGGGTCTTATATCAGGTTATTAAAATATTTACTCTGCCTTTCATTTGTTCGCCACCAATTGTTACGAGAATTATAAATATCAGAAATCGGTCATATTTACACTTTCGCAAGATGTCGACCAGATTCCGTTGTACATTTGGCATTGTTGGTTCAAAGAATAGACTGTGCCCGGAAGTGATTTTGCCTGCAGCTCTTCAAATTCCAAACCAGTAAACGCATGCTGCTTAAGGCAATTCTTTTCAAGCCTGAAAACAGATGTAATCAACGTATTTAAAAACAACTTGTGTAAGGCGATTTTTTAGAAATATTAAGAATAATCCATTGATACATGTACTGTACTGATAGTCCGCATTCCAGCAAACATTTTAAGAAGGAGCGGTGGGGAAGAGGGAACAGGGTTGATTTATTCAACATTTCAAACTTCTTGATTCTACAATCTGACTCAACCCACGGTTTATGCATTGTCTGTAATTCCATGCTACAATACTGATCAAGGTATATGTGTGTATATCGCCACGCCGAAAAAAAGCGAGAACTGAGGACTAAGACCAAGCATAAACTTCATTTATAACACTACAATTTATAGACAGCTGACATCATGTTAATACATTCTTTATAACTAAACCGCTAAATGTGATTCTGTTTGCGCAATAATTCCCGTATCAAATTCTTTTCTTAGCATATACAATGCGCGATACGGAAATAAGATAAGAAAACACTCCCATACTAAGTAATTTATACTTTCTACTTAAAAAGACAAACAGGCATTGTCCTTAATAACATTCTTAATAAAGACAACAGAGATGTGGTTAGCGCATTTATGTATTAAAATTTTAGATTCTTTTCTACTTTAGAAGCATTTGAAGAACTTATTACCCATGTTCATTGTGACCTGTTAGTATAATAAGTAACACATTGTTTTGTCTAATTTAAAACGTAATAATTATTTATGTAAAATAAAGGTAAAGTGAAAGAGGATCTGATAATAACAATGACTTATCACTCAATGGATACAGTATGTGCTCAGCAATATCTACATAGTAATTAATCGTATCTTTTCTTAAAGTTATTGCAAAAAGACAATCCCAAATGCGGCTGATAATAAAAACTTAGTGGCCAATAATGTGATGAGATAATCTCTTTTAAGGAACTTCATTGACTGAGGTCCAAAAGCCTAAAAAACATAAATGAGAATTTGTTTCATAGAACAGACGCGGCACTTAAAATATAAAGATATATAAATGATATTTCAGAAATATACTTAGAAATAAATTAAAAATCGTATTTTCGTTCTATTCTAAGCCCTATTTGAGTGAAAAGCGTTATAACGCTTTTCAATGTTTTAAGTCATTTTACAATTATAATAATTATTATGGAATAATGGAGTGCGCAAATGATATGAAATACTGCACACAAGTTATTGGTCTGTACCTACAACATATGGAACATAAATCTCAAAATATTATTTCCAGTCCCCCATGTCAGAAAAAATCTCAGTGGAGTCCCTTTAAAGTTATATAAGAATATCTCATACAGTCGTGTGTGCATCAATGGTCTTTGAACTCCTTTTATGGGGGTATGAGTGCACTGAAGATATACTGCTAAAACCGGGATATGTTCAATTTAAAAGGAGATAAAGAAACCAGGGCGGGGAAGATTGGTGTTAACAATATGAATCGTGGTTTGATTTAGCGAGTACACGTGCTTCTACGGATGTTAATGCACAATATTGGACCATTAACGCTGTAAAATTAATTTCTTGCTGAATAATGTTTGGACCAAAACATGTAATCTACAACGTACGAGCGTTGAATTGTATAAAGTTAATTTTCACTTTACACTAGAATTATAGTTGAATTATAACCACGAACAAAACTAAAGCCTAGACCAAACCAGTTATCCGGTTGTGAATAGAACAGATGGTTGCGTGTAGAACAGCTGTGCGCTATATTTGACTGAATTTGCCCTAATATAACTTTGGACATTCATATATGGTAAGTTATGGCGAGTAAATGTGAACACCAAAACATACATTCAATGTGATATTTTGTCAGTTTTCACATCAGGATTCACAAGATTTGTTCTCATTTTATATAACTTTGTGCAGATATTACTTTCTTTGATTTATATCACGGTGCATATCCATATCGGTACCCTCTTTGCGAAATCTGCTGAAACGGTACCCTCTTTGTACATGCACAGGCCATTCTCTGCTCAAAACAAACCAGCGATTAATCGTGAAGTATGTAATATTTACATAAAAGTAAGAAATATTTATACATACCTTACGATTAACGCAAATAAAAGCATATGTCGTGCCTTGAGGGTACCTATGTGTAAAAAAATGAGAGGGTGCCTGTGATATAAAAATTCAAATGAAGAGGGGTAGCCCGTGCCGCTGCAAAACCGAAAGTAGGGTGTTTTTATGAATTTTACAATTATTTTTGACAATATACTGCCATTTGTCCGAAGATGATATGTAAATGAACATACTAAATATGTATGATGCATATATAATCAAGCCGCAGGTTCATTTCAGCCCGAAAAGTATGTCGAGGTGATGGGCGAAGCATGACATGTCGATTTTTGTAGCTTATTGTGAAGTTGTAGTACATGAAAAACTGGCACATGACAAATCAGCACATAGATAAAACATTCTAGTGTTCCGTGGTATACATCTTTTCTATGTGTCATACCTTCTTTCCTTATTATATTGAAATTTTACTGGATTGTTATCCATTGCTGGTTTGTTTTTAGCAGAGAGTGGCCTGTACATGTGCAAAGAGGGTGCCGTTTCAGCAGATTTCGCAAAGAGGGTACCGATATGGAAATGCACCGTGTATATGTTAGCATTATATTTAAGGAACGATAAAACTTACCAAATTGCAACTTCAGTCAAATATAGCGCGCAACTGTACAACGCGCAACCGATGAACGGGTGTTAAGAATATATTTGATTGAAATTGTAGCAATGACTTCCAAGATGCCACAAGTAGTTTTTATTTATTTCTGTCTTTAATATATTAATATTACTAAAATTTAAGTCCCGTTGAAATCGTGAAGCTCTTTTTATACACTGCCTAACATACTTGATTTGCCAAAAAAGCTGGTCATGCATTGTTTTTTTGTATATAACATAAAAGTTTTACCTATCAATATATGACTTAAACGACGCTACACTGCAAGCAGAGAATGACCACTGGGCTCGGGAGTACGTCAAGTTGGTGGTCAACGTTATTTCAGGTGACATGATGTTTTGGGCAGAAGCCGGACAATCTGCGGCGTCTTCTTCGCCATCATGGAAGGCGCCTAATCCATGTGCTAGTTCGTGAGCGGCTGTCAGTGCAACTCTTGTTCCGTCCACCTCCACAAAGGACACCTGTGCACAAAAGTACAATTTTAACATGTTTAAAACCTTTGTCATTAAGAAGCTGTCTTTTTTCCTTCAGAAAAGATAAATATATTTGATACACAATATTTACAAATTCAATAGTAGCATTGATTCGTAAAAAATTGAACATTTTTGCAGCACAGGTTCTTACAAAGTCAGAAATTTAATCTTAAAACCAAAACAAGGCATGGTATTGTTAGTGCCTCGTTTGGGTAACCAACACGCCCATTTCTAAGACAACACAAGTTGCTATTCTATTAAGCATGACTTACGGTGTTAAAAAAATTAGTACATGTGACCACAGAGCTTTATTTATATATAGAAATTTTAGTGTATATTGTAACCACTTTGTGACTTTAATGTTAATGATAATGTGGTATAAGATTCTATTTAAATTACTTATTGAATCATCCTTGGACACTTAACAAGTTTTCAAAGTTATTTGACGTTTTATTGTATGAAAATGATTTCCCATTCACAACATAAGGCCGAAAGAATTTCTTTCATGTTTATACTTACTTTGTTTTCAGAAGAACACACACTTTCACGATATGATATCCCTTCAAATCCTGTAGAAATTGGGGTTGTTTCAAGATCAGCAAGATCTAATCTGAAAAATCAAAGCAAACATGTTTGCTGTTATCTTTCTACAAATTTCTACATTTTAGCAAACTCACATTACTCAATGATGTTTTGATCAATTTAACACCAAATTTTAGTTCACATGAAGTCATGGCTGGTCCCAATTTCCAGATTACTGTAAGATGATATATGTTCTGTTTGGAAATGGGTTAAAGTGTTCGAAATGTTTTGATTTCTCGGAGAAAAAAGAAAATTAACTCACATAAATTAAATATTAAAATTAATTGACATTAAATATCAATGAAGCACTTTAAGTACTGATTTTAGGAAATTTTCTAATTTTGAAAGATTATTCATATCTTTTTGCTGTCCCTAAAAGACCAAATTAAACTCTTGAAAAAGAAGCTTCACAGATGTTTAAGTATTTACATTTTATATATAAATGCTTAACGCGTTATTGCAGCATGGAGCTTATAATCTTAAATACCTAGGCTCTCGCCAACGAATTTAAATATATTATTTAAGTATATTTTGATTCAGTGCATGTCGATTGAAATAATGTTATGCTTACTGAACTATATTTAACTCATAGCTTAATGGCGATAACGAAATCTAGCCATGTGACTAGTGCAGACCAAAATCAAACGGCATTGTTCGCTATTCAGTCATTACCGATTACGAAATTTTCTTAAATTTATAAATGTTTTGTCCAGATTAGAAGATGGAAAGGTTCATAGAAGATGTTTAAAAGTTAAAAATAGTATGTCGACATTGCCGTGTTTTAATGTTATGTAACCGAAACGAAAACATGTAAGAAACATACGTGGACAAGCCAATGAGAAAGTCGTGCTGAGGAAGGCCTTCTTCTCTCTGATGCCAGATTGTGAGGTCGGATAGAATTCTTGACATATCTAAATATGTATAACACTCTAACACCACACTTTGGGCATTTTTTGACCACAAAACTTCAGAGTCAGCCTTGAAAATATAATAAGAAAACACAAATATTACCTTGAAAATACAATAAAAACATATATTATGTTGGTTAACTAACTGATATTTCACGCCTCTTAAATTTTTCTCAATGTCTTGTAGCCTAGGTCATTATAACATTAAATATAACAACCATATATGTGCATTAGATTTCAAATTTAACGTATTGTATAATAAATATGTTACATTGACTATGTTGTTATCAGTAAACTTATCAGTAATAAGATGTAAATCCTCAAATTATATATATTTCTAATTAAAAATAAAATGTATTAGATAATTAGATAAATATGTTGTAAACTATAAAATTTTCACTTGGTTTAAAGTGTTTTATTGCAATCTCTGAAATATTAGTAAATATTTTACAGGCCACAGCTGGATATCCAATGAAATTATTGTAGGGGTATGAAAATTAAAACACACACAACATACCTTTGGGATAACAACACCAGCTAAATATATTTTGATGCTATAGTCTGGGTCAACCGTATCCACGCTGCAGAAGTAGAGGTCAATCTGAAAGAAAAACATGAAATATTTAAATTACAGTTGTGGTTTATTGCCGAAAAGAAAATGTAAAGCTGACACATTCTCAGAATTTCGGCAAATATATGTCAATTTTCGTGTTTTATTAAAAATTAAACAAGCGCCCGTTTGACTAAGAGCAAGATATAATGAAGCACACCCCGATGGAGAATTTCTTGGATATGGTGACTATTCTTGATTTAAAAAATAAAAATGCGTTTTCATGATTTACTTCTAATATTGTAGAGGCCATCAGACCTATCTCTCTACAGTGTTGAGAATAACTGTTAGCGCTTATCAAATGTTGACGAAAATCTCATTTAAAGCCTAAAACCATTACAACCAGTCTACTAAAATTGTTATGCGCATGCTCCGCTTCAAAATACGACTTTTCTTAAACGAAAAATTAACATCGAGGAGAAAAACGGTAACAAGAAAAATCGAAAAAAAATCATTTATGTAACATTTAACTCTACTGTTTATTCCGTTTTTAATCCTTTTAACTAATTAATTGACTATTGCTTTTTAATAGTGTTTAACTATTTCATGTTTCGCAAAATAGTAACAGAAAACATAATTCCCCGGCCCCACCATTTAAAAAAAATAAGGTTAAATTTAAAAAAAATTAAAATTTAAAGTTTTTCCCAAGGGGGCTTTTTTTGGAGTAACAAAAACCCTTTCGGGTTTAAAATTTTCCAAGTGTACAAAAAACCTTGAAAAAGTGTCCCTGTTACAAAAAAAGGAAAACATTTAAGTTTTTACAATAAAATTGGAACAAAAATAAAAACCCAAAAGAAACAGTGTAATATTTTTCATTTTAAAGGGAAGTTCGGGTTTTTTTTATTTTTTAAGAGATAAAATTTGAAAGTTTTTGGGTCTCAGCCAAAAAGAAAAAATTTAAAAACCTTTAAAAAGAATGGACTGCCTGTCCTTGTACATGGGAATTAAATTTTCATTAAAAAAATTAACAATGAAAATTTGTCAAAATGATTTAAAACCAAAATTTTGCGTTTTTTTTAACAGAAAAGTGTTATTTTTGGAGACCCCTTTTTAAAAAGGAAAATGAGGGAGGTTTTTAAAATTTTGGTTTTTTCGAAACCTTTGGAAAGTTAAAAATTGATAGGAAAATTTTTATACCAAAAAATAATTTTTCTGATTAAAATTAAAAGCTTCTTTATAACGCCAGGGAAATTAAAGGTTTCTTCCCAAAGGGGAAAATTTGGGTTTTTGCCACCAATAAAACGGAATTTTTCAAATTTTAAAGCCAACTTTTCGCCGAGGGGTTTAAAAAACATGAAAGTGATGGGGTTTTCCAAAAATTTTAACCCAAAGGGAAAACCCAAAACATTGGGTAGGTAATTTTTCACGTTTTTAAAGAACAAACCCATGGGGGCGCCCCTTAAACCCGGGCCGGGAAAAACTGGCAAACACCTTGCCCTTTAAAAAAAATTTGTCTATCTTTTCCAGTTTTATTTTTTTTTAAAATTCCCTTAATAATTTGTTCTGTCAAAACAACAGTTTGTTTTTAATTTTAAAAACGGCCCCAACAATATTTGATATTTTCGCCAATGGCCCGGGTTTTTGTTTTGCATCCCCTTTTTTGGGGAAAATCTGAAACGAAAAGGAAGGGGGCCCAAAAGCATAAAGGCGGCAATCAGATCCACATGAAAAGGGGAAATAAGACTCCAAAACCCTTAAGTCAAAAATTAAAATTTAAAATTTAAAATTAGGCTCCTTAGGGGAAAACCCCTCCAAAAAAATTTTAAACTTTTGGGAAAATTTTTACTAATTTTTTATTATACTTTTTCGTCCAAAAAATTTTCGGGAACCCGGGCCAAAATTTTTTGAACGTTTTTGGGTTCGTTTTAATCCTTTTTTCGGGCCCCGTTTTAATAGATTTTCTAAAAAAAAGGGGTTTGGGTTCCCCCCAAAAAAAACTTTGGGGGTTAAAAATATTAAAATTTTGGAAATGATTTTTGGGAAGATGTTTGAAATTATTTCTATTAACCGAAATTCTAAAAATTTTTAAAGAAAAATTGAAATCTTAAAATTGTGATAAAATTTGAAATATGAAAATGGGAAAAATTTTTAAATAAAAATTCTAGTAAATAAAATGGGGCCAAATACTTTTGGAAAAATTGAAATAACACGGTATAAGTAAAATGGGGGGGTTTAAAAAACAGGGGGGTGCATAATGGAATTTTTTAAAAAAATTTTTTTAATTAAATTTTTTTTAAACCCCATTATGTTGAAATTAAATTCGACGAAAAATTCAAGAAAAAAAAAGGGTTGGTTGGCCTTGGGTAGTGCCGGAATATTGTTTTTATTGGGGAGCAAAATTTTTTGGCCTTTTAGGTGGGAATTTTTTCTGCAAATTTAAAAAAGAATTAAATTTTAATATTTTATTTATTTTTTTTTTATTTTTGCCCCTACCAAAACTTGCAAAAATTTTATCAAACCAATTAAAAATTTTTTAATAGGAGCCAAAAAATGGTGGAGAATTTGTATTAAAACCTTTTTCTTTATAATGGCAAAAAAATTGTATTTTTGGAAACTATTGGGTCCCCAAAAGGTTTAAAAAGTTTTTAAGAGCAAGTTAAACCCAAAGAATAGAAACGTGTATTTTTGTGCCTTACGTGTTTAATTTAATTTTAAAGGGGGAAAAAAATTTTTTCAAAGGAAACCAGGTGGAAAAAGAAAAAATTAATCCGGGTCCAAAAAAGGAAAAATTACTTTCGGCCCCTTTTGGCCCGGTTTTTTTCCGGATAAAAAATAATAACCCAAAAAGGGAGTTTTCCCGGTAAAAAATTTTCCTGTCAAAAATTCAAAAGAAATTTTTTTTGGTTCTTTTAAAAAGTAAACCGGTTTTAAAGATTTTAAAAAAAATTTTAATTCCCAAAAGTCTCCAACCCGGGAAAAAATTAGACCCCCAACCCCTTTTTGAAAGCCCAGTGGGGCTTTTATTTTTTTTGGAATTGGTGCCCTTTTTAAGTTTACTCTAAATAGTTTAAAATTTGGGTCTTTTAAAAAAAATTTTTGTATAAAAATTTGCATGTGGAAAAAGGTTTTTTGTTTTTTGTCAAAAAGGAATGAATTTTAAAAAGTTTGGTTTTTTTTTTGGGGAAATTCTCCCAAGGAATTTTATTTTTGTTTGCAAAAGGAAATTAAAAAAAAATTTTTTCTAAACCCAAAAAAGAAATTCAAAAGAATTTTTTCCAAAGCGGTTTAAAAATTTAAAAAAGTGAAATTTTTCCGAAATAAAAAGTTTTCGAAAAAAAAAAGTTTGGTAAAATTTTTAATTTTGGACATCAATTAAAAAAAAATTAAAGTGTTAAAATTTTTTAAAAAGATTTTAAAAAGTCATTTAATAAGAAATTCTTTTGCAAAAGGACAGTGGTAAAGGGGGAATTAAGCCGAAAAATTTTGGTCCTGAATAAAGAAACAAAAGAAAAACGAAAAATTTCAGAAAAAGAGCCCCCTCCATAAAAAGGTTTGGGATTTAAAAAAATTTCCAATTGCATTTCAAACCAAGAAAAAAACCCCACTGTTTTTAAAAAATTTGATTTTTTAAACAAGATTAATTTTAATTTTAAATTTTGTAAGGGAAAACCCATAATTTTTAATTCTAAAAATAATTTTTAAATTAATAAAAAAAATTAAAAATTAACCGAAACTCCAAAAACCCATGTTTAGAAAAATAAAAGAAAAAATTTTGGGCGGGACTTAGACTTCCCATATTTTAAAAAAAATTTTTGATAAAAAATGCATTTTTTTAAATTTTTTTAACGAAAATTGGGGACCAAAACTTTATATTAAAATGGAAAAAAATTTTTAAAAAGGCTTTTTAAAATGCTTTAAATTTTACTGTAACAACAGCTGGGACTAAATTTTGGAAAGGGGAAGTTTTCATGGGTTTTGTTTAAAGGCCGGGAAAACCCAAACACTTCTAGAAACCCCGCCTTTTAAACTGGGAAAAAAAAATACAAAAAAAAAAAGGAAAAATAAATAGCATTTGGAATTTTCCAATTGATAGATATAAAAAAAAAGTTTTTCTTGATTTCGAAGTATTAATTGAAAAACCCAAAGTTTAACAGGCATTTATAAATTTGGGCCCGTTTTGCCGGAGGGTTGGGACCAAAATATTTTGTAAATTTCTTTTTAACCCGGGGGACCAATAATTTTTTGAAAATTTTTGTGAAATATGTATTAAATTCCCTTAAAAAATTAAAATGTAACCTAAAAATTTGGGTTTTTCTGGGGGTTCTGTATGTGAACCCAAATAAAATTTGGGTATTTTAAATTCGTTTAACCATAAAAAAATTTTGTTTTCTTTTGTAATCTGGAAAATCGATTGGGTAACGAGTGCATTTTTTTTAAATCTTGGGAATCTGTATCGGGGGGCCAAAAAAAGAGAAAATTTGTGATCATTTTACCCTTTTTAATTAATGTAAATAAATTGGTTTTTTGTAAGTGTTCTTGTTTTAAGAGACCAAAACATTTTTTCCCTTGAAAGCTTTTTAAATTAAAAATTTGCAGGGGTTTAAAATGAAATTAAAAAAACCCAAAAAAACCCCCAAAATGGCCCAGAAAACCAAATGGCAAAAGGTAAAACAATGAAACCCACTAGATAAATATTTTTGCCCCAAAATATTAAAAAAGAAAATAAATTCAAGCCAAAAAAATTTAAAACAAATTTTTAATTTTTCCCAAAATTTTTCCGTGATCCCAGATGGCAATTACGGGTGCCCTTGACGGAAAGGTTTTTAATTTGTTGAAAATTCCGGTTTGCGGAAAAAATGTTTTTTTGGGGAAGCCTGGGGAAACGTCCAAAATGACCCATTTTTTATAAAGACCCGTTAGGGAAAATAAAAACCTTTTGCGAGAAGTGACGGGAAAAAAAATCCCAAAATGGGGTGTTTCATTTTAATGCATGTTTAATCTATAAAAACTAGTGCGGGATATTGGGTTTAAAACTTTAGTTTAATTGTTGTTCACTTTTTCCCTTTTAAAAATTTTGATAA